AGGGGTCAGGTGACTTGTCCAAGGTCATAACTGCTATCAAGAGTGTGAGTCAAGGTTTGGACCAGGTCAGTGCAGCACCAGAACCCGCCTTGGGGCCCTTTCCCTGGCCTGTGTGCTGGAGATCCCGGTCCCTGGGAGACGTTGTGATTTTCTTTTTGAAGCTTTTAACTGGGAGTCGAGGATGTTCTTTAATGATCTGGCGGCTTGCCCTGCACTTGCCTACCATTTCTGAACTCGCAAGAGCCCCCACCCCACTCCAGGCTGATACAGAGGGAACCTGGGTGATTCTAAAGGAGGGGAAGAATCTGAGGGTCAGGGAGTCCTTCAGCACCAGCATGATGAGTTGGACTTTTGTCCTAAGGTAGTAGGGAGCCAGATAAGGTTTTTGAGTAGTAGCATGACATGGTCATGTCTGTGTATCAGGAAAATAACCTTGGTATCAGGGCAAGCACCAGGCAGAGCAGGGACGCCTGTGAGAAGGCTGCTGTGTGAGCCTGGACTGCGCTTGGTGGTGGCTGGACCAGGCCAGGAGCTGTGGGGGTAAAGAGGGGCAGCCACATTTGAGGGGTATTTAGGAGGTGGCCCCGACAGAGCCATCTGGCTAGGTTGCAAAGGTCTAGAGTGCTGGCGTTAGGAGGCTGGTCAGCAGAGGGTCCTTAGAGCCAAGCCATGGGACTCAGGGCCATCTCCACAGGGACTGTGTGTGCCCTGGGCTCTGCCTCTGCCCCTCGGCCACTGTGGCACCAGCATGCTCCCCACCAGGGTCTCTTTCCTCCCATCTCTCTCCTTTCCTGCGCTTGGACAGCTCTGCTTTCCACCACCTACCTTCCAGGGGCCCCGATCAGGGGAGGCCCTAGTACGGTGTGGGGAGTCCCAGGCCCCTAGCCTGTGCCACCAGCTGGTATCGTGAACTCTTCCGTGGCAGAAGAGAAAAAGGCATAGGGTATGCTGGGGGAGAGGAGGCCGGTTTGTGCTGAGGGTGGGGTCCTCCCTCCTGGTGAATATTTACAAACACAGCAGCTCACTTGGCAACAGGGCCCCACTGATTCCCCCGGGTACTGCCCACCCCCCACCCCTGTCCCATGCTTCTGCCACCAGGAGAGCCTCGTGGGGCATGGGAGGAGGCAGCTATTGCTGGCACCCCAGGGACCTCCGAGTCCCACCCTGGTCCAACGGAGAGGGAGTGAAGGTCGGAGTAGGCCTAGGCCCGGTGAAGTAAGGACTCGCAGGCTTAGGCTCTACCCTGCCCCCATGCCAAGGGTTTGGTGGCATGGGTTGACTCTCAGGCCTGTGTCCTCATAAGACCTGAATCTGCAGCTCTGCCCTGCAGTGGCTCCCAGGTCTGGAGGGACTTTCGGGGCAGATGCAGGCGGTGGCCCTGGCTGTGTCTGAGAAGGTTGGCGAGCCTGGAAGCATGACACAGTGCACCACTGATTGCTCTGGGTGCTGCCCACCAGGCAGGGGTGCGGGCCCGGCCTGAGGAGGAGTGGGTAGGCAGACCCTTTCTGCACCACCTTCCATTGCCCCAGGCAAGTGGGCTTCCTAGAAAGAAGGACCCAGCCAGGAGAAGTTGGTGAGAGGGAGGGCGTGCACCCCTAGTGTGTGCACGGTGGAGAACCAGCCACGGGCCTGACTAGCCTATGCTGCCACTTCCCGGGCTCTGGTGGCCTCATGCTGCCTCCTGCCCCTGCAGCCTGGGCCTGGGCTCTTCTGAGCAGGGCTGGAGCCAGTTGTCTGTGGGTTCAGCACCCCCGGACATAGAGGTGTGGGTATGGACAGTCCAGTGCCGGCAGGGGTGGGTGGCGGTACCACACGAGGTAGGGGTTTGGGAGGCTGTGGTCTGGGGCCTGGATCCTGGCTCCCCCTCTTGCGACCCGTGTACCAGTAGACGGCAGCTACCTTCGGCAGCGTCTGTGTGCTCCCACCTTAGGCAAGGGCTTCCCAGACACCAGCAAGTCAGGAAGTTTAGGCAAGTTCTGTTCTTCCCTCTCCTGGGGACTGTGCTACTTTGGTGACTTGTGAGAGCACGTGTATGTAGGAGGCCAGCCGCTCAGACTCGTGGCAGTGACCTTTGTACAACATTTCCTGAGTGGAATATTCAGCTGGCTAAGTGCTCCCCGCTCTCTCTCAGCTCCAGCCTTTGTATGTTGGCTTCCCTCTGCTCAGGACACCCTTTCCTCTTCGTCCTTCTGCCTCAGCACCAGTACGACTCCCTGCCAGAAGCCGGTCCTGACTCCCCATACCTGAGTCGAGCACCTCCTCTGGCTCCCCATGCCTGATCACGGCCCAGACCGCGCTGCATGGCCCTGCCTCCTCCTTCATATGTCTTCTCCGTGGAACTGAGGGCAGACCCACATCTGGCTTGTCCCAGGGCCCGGCCCCAAGCCAGAGGGGAGCAGGGACCATGTGAGGGTTTGCTCTGTGATTGGGGGTTGGGTGGGTAGATGAATCACTTGGCCATTCTGGGCTGTGCTCTGTGAAAACCCCAGCATTGCAGCAGGGGCTGCAAATGCCCATGTTCTGCTGCAGCTTAGCATCCAGGAGCAACTGCCAAGGGCTAGGGTACTGTTGGTAGGGAGCTACATTTCCAGGGTGCTCTCTGACATTTTTGGGACCACATAGCTGAGCTCTTGGGCTTGTCTGAGGCTTCTCAGCCTATTGATTCAGTTCAGCCCATTAGAGGAAACGTCTGGGAGCTCGGAGCCCACCCCAAGAGCTGAGGAGCGTATCTGGATTTTCTATATGTTGACTAAGTCACTTATCTGATAGGCATGGCTGTGACACAGTCTCCCCATCTGCAGCTTAGGGAAAAGCAAATGTCCCAAGGAAGCTGGCTGATCCCCTGCCCAGGGTCTTCCCCAGAGTGGTTTTCCTCAGTGAATTCACTAGGGTCCATAGCTGGGCCTCTTCTCTGCTGGTGCAGTACTTTCATGTGATCGATATGCCCGGAGTGATTTGTTCCTGTGGGATAGCCTGCAAACTGATCTAGCTCAAGGAGGCTGCCAGGAAAACTGGGTTTCCGGCTCAGGAACTCAGTGAGAATGACCAGGCTGCTTGGGGCCTTACTTTCTCTGCACCCCAGGCAGCACCCAGAGTCTGTGGGTGGTTCACAAGTGTTCCCAGGACTCAGAAGGCCTGTTGTGCCTTGCACAGAGCATCAGCTCCCGGGGCCTAGCCACCTCTGACCGGTGCTCGGACCTGCCTGGACTGAGCATTCTAAAGATGGGCAAGGGGAGGTCCACAGAGGTGGGTTACGTGCAACCTTGTATGGCTTATAAGTGAAGGAGAAGGGATTTGAAGCAAGATTTGCCTGCTTTCTTGGCGATGCCCTGGCACGTCACTGACCTCATCTCTGGTGTGGTGATGACACAGTTTAGTACAAATATTATTTGTCAGGATTTCAGCAGATCTCTCCTCTCTCAGGGGTCAGGCAATTGCTGCTTGGCTCATATCCTGTGGCGGTAGAGTGGCTGCTGTTGGGTTTCTCGTTGTTTCCCAAGAAGCGAAACCACAGCCATGCTTCCAGAGGTAGACGGCCAGTAGGAGAGCAGCTGTAGATGGTGAGATGGTGCCTGGAGCCTAACCAGCCCTCGTTCTACCGGCAGACCTGTAGGTGTTGTGTGGCGTTTCTAGCCTCAGATCTTCCTGGGCAGTGACTCCGAGGAGGCCCTAACAGGGAGAAAAGCATCCATGCTTGGTCCATCCTCACTCTCTCTCTCAGTCCTGGGCGAAGTGCAGACCCCTGAGCCCAGCTGGCCATGTCTGCCCGGCCAACACGGTTCACTTAGCCATCAGGAGGATGTGGTAGCTCTTGGGACCTGTTCTCTTTGAACCAAAGTTAGTCACTAGCGCTTCCCACAGAAGCGCTTCCGCTGCCCACCCCAAGGCATCCTCTCTGTCCCCTGGTAGGCTTACTGTGTCCTTTTGGGCTGGGGTAGGCAAGCATGGCACCCTGCCCGCCATATGTGGTATCACAAGAAATGCACCCTGCTGAGCCCTTTCTCTCTGGGCCTTGGTTCCTTTCCCTTCCCACCAGTTTAACACGTGCTCCCTAGGCCACTTCCATTCGCTCTGGACATTAGTGGATGGGATGTCCAGTTAAGGGGCCCAGTTAATGGTGGGGCCACCTGTCCCTCTCGGTGCTTGGTCAGGGGCAGTGCGCACAGTGGTCAGCGGTCTGGGGCCAGGGATCGATGCCTTGACCCCACCCCAGCTGCTCTTGGTAATGCTGCTCTTCCTCAGAAAGCTGGCCCCAGCATCACCTCTGGCCCTGGCAAGACTTTGGCTCCAACTTTCCTTCAAGGAGGGCCTGTGGCGGATCAGGATGTGGACCTGGGGGAACCCTGCTGAGTCACTCACTGGACCCTTGCCAGATAGATTGATGCCCCTATGTCATGAGGGCCAGAGGTGTCTGTCAGGATGTGTCTGTGGGCTCTGCTCCCCTTGCCTTCTGTCTCCCTCAGGGTCAGGGCCTGGGGCTGGGAGCTTTGGAATGGGGTGGGAGGAGCCTGCATCACCCCACTCATTCCGGCCACTGTGCTCTCCTTACTGCAGGAGCAAAGAGAAGCACAATGGTATGAGCACACGGGAGAGGGGGTGCACCCAGACCCTGGGGCTCAGGAGGCTTTACTCCGGAGCTGTCAGACCATGCACTGGCCTCCGGAAGATACAGAAGCCTCTGTCAGTCATGGCCCAGGGCCTGCACATACGGTTCTCAGGAGAACTGGGCTGGATGTCTGACTCTCAGGGGTGACTCCTCAGGGTTCCGGCCTGTCACCTAGAAAGGCCTTTCTAGGAAGCCAGCTTCTGGGATGTGCTGTGTTGCACCAGGCGACCATGTGCCCCAGCTAGCCCAGGGCCCACCCTACAGTGTATTTGGCCAGGGCCTGGCCAAGGTCACTGTGTCGCTTGTGATCCAAGACAGATGGAAGGACAGACCCGGGACGCCTCCCTGGCCTGCCATCAGCTCTCCTCTCTCACCCACCTCTTGTTTCCTGCAGAGTTCATTCTCTCACTTCTGGAGAAGATGCAGACACAGGAGATCCTGAGGTTGCTGCGGCTGCCTGAGCTGAGTGACTTGGGCCAGTTTTTCCGCAGCCTCTCAGCCACCACCCTCGTGAGTGTGGGTGCGCTGGCCGCCATCCTCGCCTACTGGTTCACTCACCGGCCAAAGGCCCTACAACCACCATGCAACCTCCTGATGCAGTCGGAAGAAGTGGAGGTGAGCAGAGTGCCACAGCTGGCGGCAAGGAGTGGGCAGAGGCATCTTGAAGGCAGAAGGCAAACTTGCAGCTGATTTGACCCAAAATGGTGCAGAGAATCTCGTTTTCCCCTGGCAGTGAGCCAGTAAGCCTCCCCGGGGCCTTGAACAGGGTCTCCTACACGATACTTCTCTGCCTTTCCCAGGAACTGATCCGTGGCCTTGCACCGGATCTCTAGTTTGTCTGCTTCTTGGGTGGGAAGCTTTGGCTCGCTAGTGCTTCAGTAGAAAGCCTAAGGTTCTCAAGGGGCCGCCAGGTAACTTTCCTCTTGTCTCCCTGTGCCCAGCCCTGGTCTGGAGCTGGAACTCAGAGCTGAGCCCACCTCATGGCCCTGTCTTCCCAGAGCACATGGGCTCACGGGAGGGCCACCAAGGGGAGCAAGGGCAGTGGCCCAGCCTGGACAAGGGTATTCCAGGCTCAATCTAAAAGGACTAGTGAGATTTCTTTCTTTCTTAAGCTTGTGAAATTTATTTTGCCTTTTAAAAAATTGTCTTTTTCTTAAACTTTATTCATTTTGAATAGATAACATATTCACCCTTCCAAAGAGAAAAAGGTCGCAGACTGAAGAGCTTCTACCTTCTTCCCCTTGCCTGCGAGTTCTCCCCAGAGAACTGTCCATGAGCGAATGGATAGTTACCTGCCCCTCTTTTTTTTTTCCTTTGAAGATTTTATTTATTTATTTTAGAAAGAGAGAGTGAGAGAGGAGGGGGAGGGGCAGATAGGGAGAATTTTGAGCACGCTGTGCTGAGCACGGAGCCTGGGGGCAGGGGGGCTTTACCTCACAACCACGAGATTACAGCCTGAGCCCAAATCAAGAGTTGGATGCTTAACCCCCTGAATGCCCCTGCCCCTCTTTTTAAATGCTATCCTGCTGCATACACAGTTCAGCGTCTTGCTTTTTTGCTCTTGAGGGTGCATTCGGCAATCATGAGCATGGTACAATTTTGTGTGGTAGGAGAAGATGCAGGTCTAGATAGGACAGGGGTCTTCAGGGCACTTTTCCCGCAGAAGGCATGATGTGTGAAAAGGTGTGGGTATGTGTTCTTGCACTTGGTGGCTTTGGGAAATAGTGATTCACATGGGGTAGCTGGATGGTGGAGCGGGGTACCCCTGGACTAGCAGAGTGGTGACCAGAATGGCCTTTGGTGACTGGCAGCCCTGAAGGGCTGGCCACGCCTCTTACTAGCTATATGGTCCTTGGCAGTTTCTTAACTCTCTGAGCCTCAGCGTCCTCAACTGCCAAGTGGGTAATAAAAAGAGTGCCCACTTCCTAAGGTTGTGGTAAGGATTTGGTAGGATGACACAGAGAAAGTAAGAGACTGTTTTGGTAAGCCTATAATCACAACTCGCTTGGAGAGGCCAGTAAGGACAAAGCCCCATGGTGGGCAGCATGGATTTACTTTGGGTTTTTAGTAGAGAAAGAGATGCAGGGCCAATTTGTGCTGTAGAAGGATTGAGCAGCCTGGGCAGGAGTGTTCCTGGACAGGTACCTTCGGCCAGTACACAAACTAGTTCACACTATTATGTGAATGATGGTTGGCACCCAAATGATTCTTAACCTAGGGGCACAGCAGCAGCAGATGATGATGAGGGCCGTCCCGATGCCAGAGGGTAGCCGGACGCCAGCCAGCACTCCCCATTCCATTGTACGAGTGCACCATAGCTGTATATGAATCGTAACTGGAATTCTGGACGTTTTGTGGGTACCGTGTGTACGTATGGGAGACCAGTGTACTGGGCCTGTGTGCGTGAGCCAACTGTGTTTGAGTGTGGGGGCATACAGGTCAAGTGTAGAGGTCATGTGTGTGCCGTCTGGGTGTTCTGTCTAGGCCCCGTGTGTGAATGCATACAGAGCATGTCACAGTCCCACCTATGTGGTCCTGGTGTGCGTCCACGCTCCGTACCGCCTGGTGTGTCCTGGTGCCCTCTTCTGATGCCTCTGCCTGCCTCAGCCAGCTTCCCTGGCCTGTGCTTGGCTCGTAGGACAGTGGCGGGGCCCGGCGATCTGTGATCGGCGACGGCCCTCAGTTGCTCACCCACTACTACGATGATGCCAGGACCATGTACCAGGTGTTCTGCCGTGGGCTCAGCATCTCAGGTGAGAGGGGGCGTAGGGGTGTGCAGGAGCTGTGGCAGGGAGTGAGCAGGTGCAAAGGTGGGGAGGGACAACCCAGGTGTCAGGGGGCTGGGAGGGGAGTGGTACCCAGGTTCAGAGGGAAAAAGCCACTCTTGGCCCTTCTCCCACCCAGTCGGAGAAGTAGCTGCAGTGTGTGGCCGAAGGGCTGACCTCAGCTTTGTTCTAGCACTTAGGACTGCCCGACCTTAAGCTGGCTCTTAGCCCGTACTTTATATCTCCCACAGGCAGCCCCTGATAAGCCTCATACTGCCAGGCCACTGGCTGGCATGGTTCAGAACCTGGGCCTCTGAGATGTCTGGGTGGGCCAGGGTAGGGGGCAAAAGGAAATAGTCCTACAGAGGCAACTTTCCACCTCTGCCCCCATGGCCAGGTCTCTGTGTCCTCCTGGGGCTGCATCACACAGGTCATGGTGGGAACTGGCACTGTGTCATTCCCTGATCCTGGGCCTCCCTGATCCCTGAAGACACATTATGCTTGTGTACTTTAGGCCTTCTTGGGCTTCTGCAAGTTAGACAGGGAGCTAAAGGGCAGTTCACCTGATTCCTGGACCAACCACCCCATGGCCTGGGATGTCCATTCAAGTGTCTGATGGGCAGGTGCAGGTGACAGCCCACACTACCACCCTCCCTGGCACAAGGCCTGCTTATCTCCCTGCAGGGAATGGACCCTGTCTTGGCTTCAGGAAGCCGAAGCAACCTTATCAGTGGCTGTCCTACCAGGAGGTAAGTGACCGAGGACAGGCCCCACCCTGTCAACCCATGTAGACCTGGCATTGGGGGGGCTCATGGGTACCCTGCAAGGTGTCAGAGGGTCATTGTTTCCTTGCTTGGCCTGTTTGCCAGACTCCTGACAGCTACCTCACAGGGTTTCCAGCCAACCTGGGTAGGGACTTGGGAAGGTCTCAGACCTGTAGGAATCTCCACCTGGGGATCTCCCTCCCTGCTGAAAGTCCTTGCTTTCCATTACTTCCCCATGTCTGTGTGCAGGTGGCCGACAGAGCTGAATTTCTAGGGTCTGGACTTCTCCAACACAATTGTAAACCAAGTACAGATCAGTTCATTGGCGTTTTTGCACAAAATCGGCCAGAGGTAAGCATCTGCCTTCAATGGTTTTAGAGGTATCGGTGGCGTAGGAGCTTGGGTATCATACATAGCCCCGATCCCACTGTTTGTAGGGCCTGGGACAAGAGGAAAAATGGATATACTTGGTCCATGCCACCCCCCAGTCCCTTGGCTTTGCCCCTAATCAGGAGTGGACATTCCAGCCAAGCTCCGTCCACAACAGCCAGCCCCACAGACTGCTGTTCCCTGAGCCATGCGGGAAGAAGGACCCAGGGAAGAAGGCCGTGCAAGCCCTTGAAGTAGGCTTGGGACTGTTCGGAGTCTCGGAATTCCCTGGGGCATGCATGATCTAGAAGGCTGTGGGTAAGCAGTCACAACGGGTTAGCTTTGTGGATGCCTTGCCACATGGAGAGGGCCAGAACAGAACCTTCTCAGTAGGACCCAGAACAAGTCCCCTGCTTGCCTGGGCAGAAGAGCCGTATTGCCCTCCGACCTGCTCTGTGCTCCCCCAACCCTAGACCTGTGTGTCTCCACAGTGGATCATCGCAGAGCTTGCCTGCTACACGTATTCTATGGTGGTGGTCCCGCTCTATGACACCCTGGGCCCTGGGGCTATCCGCTACATCATCAGGACAGGTGAGCCAACCACATCCCCCTCTTGCCACTGGCATCCAGCCCTCCAGATCCCTGCCTCTCAGATTATACTGATTGTCTGACACTAAAAAGCACTTTGCCTCCATTCTCGAAGAACATTCTCCACTTTGGCCCTTGAGTTGGCCTTCCCCAGTTAGACTTCACCTAAAGGCACCTTCCACAGGGCCTGGCTATCATGAAGGAGCCTCTGCACCAGCCCCCACACAGACTTCCAGCTCCCTGAGGCTTAGTCCAGCTTGGGGCAGATGGCCAGGGGCAGGGGCGGGGGTGGCAAGTATCTCCAGCAGCGCTGAGATTAGGGAACCTGAGCCTGGAGCAAAGGAATGCGTAGAAGCCGCCCTAGGAGACTGGCCTTTTGTGCTCCGCTTTTCCAGAGCTCCCTGCGGTTTCCTCTCTGTACAACACAGGGCCTGCGTGGCCTGTCTTAGTGCATTTACTCACACCCGTGCTCGGGCACACACGGCCCATGGGGCTCTGCTGCCTGGCACATGTACCCACGGTCACAGCCCGTGCGCACACAGCCTGACTTTCCCTTCAGCCGACATCAGCACCGTGGTCGTGGACAAACCTCAGAAGGCCGTGCTTCTGCTGGAACACGTGGAAAGGAAGGAGACTCCAGGGCTCAAGCTCATCATCCTCATGGAACCATTCGAGGAAGCTCTGAAAGACAGAGGGCAGGAGTGCGGAGTGGTCATTAAGTCCATGCAGGCTGTGGAGGTGAGGCGAGCCACTGGTTATCTGCCCCTCGCATGCCCTGGGGTGGATATCTTCGGTCATCAGGCTATGTCAGGGTTGAAACAGGGCAGGCTTCGCAAGCGCTGGCGGTGGGTGGGGGGTCGGTGCCCACAGGCATCCCCTAGGCGACAGGCTCCGTTGGCTGGCACAGTTATTGACATAGGCACCGACAGGTGGATGGTGGTACCAGCCTGCCCCAGAGTTACTCACATAGCCTCTGGGGCTGCCTGTTCTCCAGCCTGTCTGACCCTGAGGACTAGAGACAGGAGGTCCAGAGTCTTTGAGGGGTTCTTTCAATGTGTCCGAGACTCCCAGCGGCCAGCAGAACAAGTTTTTCTGTGTGTGACCTTCCCGGATGTGTTGCTTTGGTGACAGCTTATGGCCTGCTGGAGTGACACAGGCCATCCTGGCCTCCAGGGCCTCACGCCCTGCTCAGTAGCAGCTGACCCCCACTGTACCTTCCTGGACGTAGGCCTCTGGGCTCTCCCCTTTGTCCTCCTGTGTGCCTGCCTGTTCTGAACTATACTTGTAATTCCTGTGCACTTGTACCCTTCCATGGCTCTTGGGGCCACATTTACACTGGCAACCCCCATCTGCCCCTCCAGCCCTGACCCTTTATCTGGAAGTCCTGGCTACCTAGCCCCTCTGTCCTGAACATCTGTCCGGATGGGCACCTTGAGCTGTCTCCCCCACTGCGCATGTGCATAGTGCCTCGCCTTTCCTGGGCCTCAGGCCCCTTGTCTGTAATGTGTGCGGTGGCCCAGGCCTAGGTGTGTATTTGAGGAGAGGGCGCTCCCGTGGTTTCTCCACATGGGCTACGTCTGGATGGGGAATCCTGAACTCTAGACTCCGCACAAGAGCAAGACATACTAAGCTGAGTGTTTTGATTTTTTGTTTCTTCACTTGTTTTGACTGATAAGAACTTTTGAGCATTTAAAAATAGTATTTTTCTCTTCCAGGAGTGTGGCCAACAGAATCATCAGGCTCCTGTGGTAAGCTCATCTGCCAGTAGGTCTTTATTGAGCAAGATGCTGTGCAGGTCTGACCCTCACAGACCCCTCCCAGGGGCTTGATAGGAGGTCAGAGCAGCACCCCTGTGCTGATAAGCAGCTACCGTGGGCAGCTTGGGAAATGCCCGCTCAGGGCGCCAGGACTTGTGTGGGTGAGGGTCTAGTGAGCGACCTGAAACAGGAGTCAGGTGTTGGAGGAGGGAGGAAAAAAGGGCAGCCAATCCTGGCTACTCTTAGTTCTCCAGGAACCTTTCTTTGGAACGGCTTGTGTTTTTCTTTGACGGTAGTGAACTCTAAAGACAGGCTGAGCGCTGTCTTTGTTCATTTTCGCTTTGTGATTTTTTTCTGCGTGTCACCCCCAAGTGGTACCGCCTGGGGTTGAGTCACCAGTGACGGTCACTGGCCCTGGGAGGGCCCTGTGGGGCTTTAAGCTTGCTTACACGGCCTCTTGCTTACAGCCCTCCCTCCAGCTCAGCCCCGCCCCCTCTTCTTGCCGGCCCCTGTGTGAGCATTCTCATAACAGGGGCTGGCCCTGCATGGGTGGCTCTGGGAGTTGCCCACCTCCCGCACCCAATGCGCCAGCCTTAGAGCACTGTTCTCCGACCCCCTGGCATGCGCTTGCCTCTTGTGCCTCTTCCAGAGCCCACTCTCTGTTCGTCTGGAGAGGTCTGGCTTGTCCCTCAGTCTGAACTCGTGTCACCTCCTCTGCGTACGAGCAGACGTACTCGGATCTTCCCGGTGACCCCAGGACTCTGTGCCCTGTGTCAGGGGCAAGGGCCTGATGCAGAACAGTCTTGGTGACACTGTGGGAAACTCAGTTCCTGGGCCACACATTCTGCACCCAAGCCTAACCCCAGACATTTGGGAGAAAGTGGGAAGGAAGGATGGCACTGGATCACATCCACGAGGCCTAGATGTGGCCACTGCAGCCCAATTCCATCTAGAACTGAACTCAGGTTCAAGTTAGGGAGGCAGCAGACGCAGGTGAGAGGTTAGTGGGACAGATGGATGTCCAAGCCCCCATTAAGTTTCCTCAGCCTTTCTTCCCCTCTCCTAGGGACGTGCCAGCCCGCCTTTCTGGCTGCAGCAGGCAGGGCATGCGCACGGCCCCACACGTGGCAGGTGGGGGTGCACAGAAGGGCCGGCTGGTAGAGGGGCCTGGGGGTATTGGGCCCTGGCTGGCCACACTGGGTCCCTTTAACTCACACCTCTTCTCAACTCTGCAGCCCCCGAAGCCCAGCGACCTCTCCATTGTGTGTTTCACAAGCGGCACAACAGGTGAGCAGAGGTGCCCAGATCACCAGCCAGGGCCACCGGCAAGCTTCCCTGGCGGCCTTGGTGTGGTGGATGCAGGGGGCTCTGGTGCCCTGCGTGGCACGGGCTGAGCCTTGTCCTGTGCCTGGCTCCAGACGATGGGCCCCTCCTGCCGCTCCCAGTGCCCAGCAGGAGGCAGCCCAGGTGGCTGGACGTGGATGGACAGTGTGGCCTGGGAGGTGCAGGGTGGGGGCTCGCCATTCCATGGCACTGGGGCCAGAGGAGGGCCGGGTAGCTGAGTCACATCATCCCTCCCCGAGAAGCAGCTCTCACCTCTCTGCTTCCTGCCCCTGCGTGGCCTTTGTGTCGGGGACGGGGGAAGAGGTATGAGGTTTGGTGTCTGAGAGCCTCTATTTGAGTCCCACTTCCACCACTTCCTGGGGGGCTACGAGCCAGTCACATAAACTTGCCGCCATCACTCTGCCCAGCTTCTCACCGGGGATGGGGGCTGTTTAAAGTGCCAAAGAGGAGAGGGGACGGAGTGTGAAAAGGCGGTGCAAAGGCTCTGCGGGGTGGGGCTGGTGTGCTGTGGGTACAAGGACAAGCAGAAGTGACGCCCCCCATGCCTGGTGCTGACAGAGAAGTGTACACAGCCGCTTTAGCAGGGACAGCCAAGGCAGGCTGCCTGGGGGCGGGGGTCAGGACGCACATGAGGAGCATGGTCACGGGCACAGCACGTCACAGTCTGCAGTGCCCTGTTGACGCAGTCACTGAGCTGCTGGGGCCCCAGCATGGCCTGTGAGGCCAGCAGGTGTGGGGGCTGGCCGGGTGGACATCACCAGCAAGTGGAGGTATAGGACTTGGGCCCTGCTCCCGCGACCCCCAGCCCAGGGCTCTTCCCCTTTGCTGCTCCATCTCATCTATGGACTTGGGAAGTCACTTGTGTTTTTCCCCGAATGGGCAAGGAGTTTCCAGCCTTCTTTTTCCAGATTGAGAACTGGCCTGCCTTGATGGTAGCTCTTGGTGGGGTAGGCAGTGAATCCGGGTCTTCCGACGCTTTCCACAGACGTAACCTCCGAGTCTGACCGGCCCCATAAGCAGGACTCTCCATGAGCGTGGATCACAATAAACGTGGCTTCGTTGGATCGAGATGGATTTTTGCCATTAACTCAGTGGGTTTGAGGGTTTCTACCACGTTGCTAATTTTTGTCAGAGAAGAAAGAATATAGCATTTGCTCTCCAGGAGCTGACATCTAGATTCAACCCAGAATTCAAAAATGCCCTTCAGGTTTATATTGTTCTTCGTCATGAGTTTCATGACATAAACTTTTGGTGACCTGTCTCTCCAGCCTGGGCTGGGGAGCACGTTACTACTGTGGTCTTTAGGTTTAGACTCTTGCCCTTTGAGCATGCCCCTGGGCTTTTCCTGAGTCACTTGATGTTGCCCCCGTTTCTGGAAAAGAATGTCACAGTGCAGAAATGGGCTGTCACCTGGTTGGAGAGGACAGGCCTCATGTCTAGTGCTTTTCCAGGCCATGAAGTCAGAACTGAAAGCTAAGCTGTCCTGCCCAGGCTCTGTGTGGTGGCAGTGGGATGTGCAGAGCCTGGCCAACACGTGGTGATTTAGTGCCCAAGCCTCCCACTCTATAGAGCTGTTGCTGGTGCCAGGGGCAGAGCTGGACAATCGAGCACACCTCTCATCACCCTGCCTGGCTGTGCTTGGATTTCCTTGGCCTTCACCTGAGCCTGCTATGCCCCTGGTAGCCCTGTTGTCAACCACATCAGCAATGCGTGTCCTCAGCCTCACAGCCCTGGACCCAGCGGCCCAGCGGCCCAGCTTCCCTTCCATAGTAAGCGTCCTGGCTCACAGCTTCATCAAGAGCCACACTGTTCTTCCCGTGGGGAAAGATGGAAAATATGATCTAAACCTGACATTTGGTTCGTGATTCTGGTGGAATCATTCTGGGAAGATTTTCTTCTTGGTATATGATGGAAACATCTGTGGAAATTCCTAGACTAAGCCAGTGCTTTGGAGCCCATAGTCAGGCCAAGAAGGCCCTGGAGGAGGTGAGAGCTTGGGATTCGTCTGTGCTCAGGGATGGCTCCTGGCTGGGTATGTGGGTTGGTTGTTTGTAGTTCATAAAATGACTGTTAGCTGGACTAGAATCTGACACCCCTCTCCCCGAGAAAAGATAATTTGTGGGTGTAACATGGTCCAGTTTGGGAAGTTGGGCCCCATGAATGATAATTAAGACGTATCCTATGAGGACATGCACCCTCTCTTCCCAGAGAAGAAAATATAGTGGTCTTTTAAAACACACCCTTCTTTTTTCTTTTTAATAATTTTTTAAAAAGGTTTTATTTATTCATTTGACAGAGAGAGAGAGAGACAGCGAGAGAGGGAACACAAGCAGGGGGAGTGGGAGAGGGAGAAGCAGGCTTCCCGCAGAGCAGGGAGCCCGATGTGGGGCTCGATCCCAGGACCCCGGGATCATGACCTGAGCCGAAGGCAGTTGCTTAACCGACTGAGCCACCCAGGCGCCCCCTAAAACATATCCTTCTTAATCGATATGTTTTTAGCATTCTTTTTCTACTTTATGTAGATTGACTCATTCAGCTCATTTATGGAGCATCCCCTATGCATCAGACCTAGTGCTGGGGGCTGAGGTCACAGGGATGGGTAAGCCAGAGCCCTGTTTTCATGGGCTCACAACTCACGTCACCTAGTAGTTTGGTACAGTGTGGTCACCGCCGCAAGGGTCCGCATCCCAACGTGCCTGGAGCACTACGCCACCGGGAGGTGGGAGGAGCAGGACAGACAGATGCCCAGAGGAAGCGCATCTGAGCGGAGTCCTGAAAGATCGGTAGCTGGGGGAGAATAGGAGGAAGGGCATTCTCAACAGGGAGAGCAGTATGTGCGGAGGGTGGGCTGCAAGAAGGAAACTGTCGCTTTGAGGGAGAGTTGAGTGAGGGGATAGCAGTGTGGGGACAGGGCCTGGAAGCCCTGGCCGGAGCGGAGTGATGGGGGCCGGAGTTTCAAATGGAGGCTGAGCAGATGCGGCCAGAGATGCTAGAGGAGAATAGAATCTGTCAGCATTGTCTGGTGGCTGAGCCACCCCCGTAGGACGCTGCCGCTGCTGAAACACTGGCTGGTGCTCCTGGCAAAGGCTAGTCGTGGAGTGGAGGCTGGACACAGAAGCCGACTGCAGTGGAATGAGGAGTGAATGGGAGGTGAGGATGTCACTTCAACAGGTGTGGACAGTTCCTTCACGAAGCTTGGCCCTGTCACCAAAAGGCCTGCTCCAGAACGTTCATGACCTTGCGGTGTGGATAGTCAGAATCCGGAGACAACACCAGTGCCCATCAGCAGTGGAATGGTATACCTCAATAGAACATTCTGCCTCACTGTATGTAGAGTGAAAGAAACCAGGCACAAAAGATTGCGTGATTTCTTTGATATAAAGTTACACACATAATCAACTAGTCTACAGTTTTAGAAGTCAGACTAACGGTTGCCTTCCAGGATAATGGTGCCCTGGATTATTGATGATGTTCTGTCTTGACCTGGTACTGGTTGCACAGGTAAGTTCACTTAAAAAAAAACAACAAAAAACCTATTGAACCTTATACTCACTTGGGCACTTTACTATATGTATGTTGTGCTGTAAGAGAATTTATGTAAAAAAAAAAAAAGATTAGCTCTGAAGGAACGACAGAGCAAGAGTAGAGCTGGCAGAGACCTGGAGGGGGTAGGGGCTTTTGTTATCTTCCTGGAAACCCCTGCAAGTGTTTCTTGGCATCGAGTAAGAGCCACTAGAGACAGAGGAAAGGGAGGTGCTGCTCAGTGGAGCCGAGCCCCCAAAGCTTTGGTTTGGACTGGGGGAGAGAGGAGGCTTCCAGGTGCCACCAGGAAAGAGACATGCCCTGCCTGGAGAAAGGAGAAAGAGTGGGTAGAGGCATCTCTTCTGTTCTAATTGAGGACACCCAGGGAAGCTCAGTCATGTGCAGTCCTTTAGCTGAGCATGAAGATGGCCATCAGCCTTACGTCTGTGGCTGCTCAGAGATGGGAGCTTGGGAAAATACTTTTCTTGACCTATTTGTTTTACACCATTCAGTTCAAGACTTATGTGACCATATGCATGAAACTGCACCTCAATACTCCTGCTGTGCAGCTGTAGGAGAATTTCTTAACCTCTCTTAAGCCCCCACTTCCTTGGATATTAAATTAAGCTATCCGTGGGGCTCCTGGGTGGCTCAATCAGTTAAGCATCTACCTTCAGCTCAGGTCATGATCCCAGGGTCCTGGGATTGAGCCCGAGTGGGACTACCTGCTCAATGGGGAGTCTGCTTCTCCCTCTCCTTCCCCCTGCTCATTCTCTCTCTCAAATGAAAAAAAAAAATCTTAAAAAAAATGAGGCCGTCTGATATCTGCAGCATAGGCTGTTTTAAGAAATAACTGAGTTACCATGTATGAGATGCCCACCCAGCACAGTGCCCACATTGGTGGGTGTTCAGTAACTGGCTGCTATTAGAGTTATTCCTTGTATTCCTACCAGTTCTCAAGTCTGATTGTTTCAAAAAAAAAGAATGGTGGGCATGTGATTGATGAAAGTAAGGCTCAATCCTAAATAAGATGTGGGAGCCTCAAGCAGGGAGATGAACACTCTGCATTATAAAACTTCCCAAGCATTTCTGTCACCAGCCTCTTCTGTAACCCACCTTTGTGTGAAAGTGGAAACAAGCAGCCAGAGGAACCTCCAGCCAGAGGGCCCAGCACTGCTCCCAACCCCACTCCCAGCCACCCCTGTAGGAGAGACCTTGGGCTCAGCTTCACCCCATGACTGCCCTCACTTGGAGCCAGTGTCCATCCAGGGCAGACCTTCAACCAGTGAAAGGCCTTTCTGCACATCAGCCATGGATGGCCAGCCAGGAATACTGGGCTAAAGCCCAAATGACATTTGCAGAATCTGCAATGAAGAGTTTTTTCCTTCAGCAGCTGGAGAGAAAAATAAATGGGAGGAGGGCCAGCCTGTCAGTAGAAGATGGGAAAGGGACAGTAGGTCTCATGCTGCTGAGATGTCGGGGCCTGGGCAGCAGCATCTCCACTGATGTTGCACCAGAAAAGGAGAGAACTGGTTCTTTAACTTTGCCAGAGGTCTAGTGAAGAATGCTTACCTGTTCTTCTACGTGAGTAACTTGGAAATTTTTCTATATCACATTTGAAGGAAATACTGCCAGAAGCATGCACTATTCCTGAATCAGAGAAGCAAGCAGAACTTTCCAAAGGCTTACCTCCCACCTCCCACCTCCCACCTACCAGCTCAGACCTTGCATCCCGTTCCAGGATTTGTTGTCAACCTGTGCTTCTTCATCCTTCTTGAACACATCGAGGCATGACTTGAGGACATCATTTGAACATTTCTGGGAATATTTAAAATTCTATAACTCATTAGAAGTTTATAAAACCTTACTCATACCCTGCAAGAAAGCTGGAGGAGGAGGAGAAACACCAGAGCGAGAGAGGAGAGGCGGACCACCCAGCCGGCCGCCAGCCCTAGCTGGGGAGGGCAGAAGTGGCAGCAAAGTGGTCAGTTGGCACTTTGGACGGACACATGCAGTCCTGAATTCAGACTGTCGGTGGCTTACGACACCCATGAAACTGACCTGACAGTGTGACCAGAGAAGGCATGAGGTGCCTCTGTTTTCATCCAGGGGCAGAAAAAGAACTGCCCCCCACCCACTGAGCAACTTTAAAGGCACAGATGGAGCCAAAGGTTTGTTTTTAAAAGGTGCAAACTTTTCTCATCGTGTTGGAGAGGGAAAAGTTTTGTCTAAGCAGAACTGAGTAGATGCTACCATTGTGTGTGTTGTGGACTGAACTGAATGGAGGCTTCAGACAGTTTTCATGAATGAAGACAACTTTCTCTCTTTTGAGATTCTCAGTCACCCACCTTGAAGTTGCATTAGGCATGAGCAAGTCAGCCAGCCTAGCAGATCTAAAGCTCTGTAGCATTGGACGGTATTTTGTGGAAGTTCTGATTTCATACCTAGTATTTTGGGGGTATTCCTTAGAGACTTCCAGAACCTGGGGACCCCCAGGTGAAAATTTCCAGGTGATACTCTCAGAATAGTCTGTGGACCCAGAGATTCTGTGGGATTTGTACATAGGAGGCAATTCAGGGCTTGGGTTTGAGGAAAGACGCTGGGATGAAAGAAGGACCAGCAGAAGTAAAAACAGATCCCATATATCTTCGTTAAAAAAAAAAAGAAAGATATTTTAACAGCTACCTATTAAAACCCTGTAACCTTCTGTGCCCCCAAATCCCCTCTGTGATTTGGGTCACATTGCACGCACACGGGTGCCAGAGCGCTTGTTAAAACCCCGCCCACCACACATCTTGGTCAGACTGAGACGGGGCCATTCCTGACGCTCTGGTGTCTGCCAGTAAGTTGAGCACACGGGCCACATGGGATAGAATTATGAGAGCAACTGTGCCTTCAGAGTTGCTCAGTGCGGGGGTAGTTCTCCTTTTGCCCCTGGATGAAAACAGAGGCACCTCATGCCTTCTCTGGTCACACTGTCAGGTCAGTTTCATGGGTGTCGTAAGCCACCGGCAGTCTGAATTCAGGACTGCATGTGTCCGTCCAAAGTGCGAACTGACCACCCTGCTGCCACTTCTGCCCTCCCCAGCTAGGGCTGGCGGCCGGCCGGGTGGTCCGCCTCTCCTCTCTTGCTCTGGTGTTTCTCCTCCTCCTCCCGCTTGCTAATGAAGCTTTGGGCCCTCTCCCACCAAGTGGAAGTGGGGAGGGAGAAAAAGGAAGTGGGAATGGGAAGTCGAGAGATGGTTTGGGGCAGACCTTTAAAACCTGCTCCTTGTGTCATGGCCACTTCCGGGAGTTGTCCTGATTGCAGGCAGTGTTCTCTTGGTTGGCTGCTTCCTTTTCCACTTCACTCCTGCCTGTGGCGCACACGACTGCTTCTCCCTGAGTCAGGGGGAAACTGGCCAGTGGACAAGACTCCTTTTTAACCCACCATTCCCACCACCGCCCCCTCAGACTGCTGTTCTTTCTGCAAACTCCCCATCCAGTCCCTGGGATTTATTATTTGTTTGCAGACACACTTCTCACATTTCTCACCAGGAC